AAATACCCGAGAAGCAGCAGCTCCCACAAGAACAGGTAGGTACTCCTGGTGCCCACAGGACAGGATTTGGGACTGCAGGTGAGGACCTGACCTAATCTTCCCATAAACCTCTAGGGCTCTAGAGAGTTGCAATTGTGGAAGCAATAAAACTCACATATCTAAAAGGTCACTGTTGTGTGCAGCTGGTGGTGTGGCCTCCAGTCATCAGCAGTAGCTTCTGGAAGAGAGGACAGAGGCTGTAGACAGGAGCTGGTGGGTGTGGCTGCAGCTCTTCCTATGCCTGTAACTGATGAGCTCCACAGAGGGAGTTTCAGTCATTGTCCCAGGGCTTCTGTTGAATTCTCCCTCCCCAGCCTCATTAGTGGTGGTGGTTGCAAGGGTATTGCTATGTTCCCTAATTGTGAATTACTTATCTTCCAGGAGAAAGACTTGCCTACCCTACAGCAAGAACTTATGGACACCAAACAAGCATTGGCCAGCGCCCACCAGGACAGAGAGAAACTTCTCCAGGAGATTAGGAAGTACAACCCTCTCTTTGAGCTCTGACAGCAGCTCACCCATCTGTGCCAAGGAGAGAGGCTATCACCAGCAACAGCACCACCTAGGATAGAGGTGCCGAGGAGCCAGCAGGGCCAGGAGGGAGCACCCTTGTGTGCTCCCTGCTGGCTGCTAGGCTGGGTGGAGGACAGTGGAGAGCATGGCTGCGTCCAGGAACTGGGATAGCTATGTACCTGGCCCTGCACCACATCTTGCCATTATGTAGCCTTGTAGCCCTCTGCGTACTAGAGGAATCTTCTCTACACTGTAGAGCATCTCACATCCTGGTTTCATGGCAGTGATGTTTGCTTCCTTTATGGTGTGTGTGAAAAGTGTCCATCTGAGTCATGTGCACAGCCACCAAAGATCCCATGTCCCAGCGCTTCCTCTGGCATATCTAAAAAGTCCTTGGCTTGAGTTTTGGAGTAGATCAGGAAATAGCCCAGCCTCAGGGGTTGGGTCAGAGGAGGCCTGAGCTGAGGGAGCAGTGGAGTGGGATCTAGGCTCATCCTATCTTGGCGATGTCTTCATTGTGAAGCTGTGACTGACTCGGCGAGGTCGTGGTCCCTGACACAGCAGTTGTTAGAGTGCCCAGCTGAGGGCATGCTGAGGTGGGGTACAGTTCTTCCTGCTCCCACAGCTGTACCTGACAGGCTTCTTTTTGCACTAGGAGTCCCTGGGCACCTGCTTTCCCAGCACTATGACTTTCTGCCTTTGCTATGTCAGCACTTGGTAGTTTGGGAGCTAAACATGTGCTCTGACCTAGTCGCGATGCCTCAGTGTGCTGCCCCACTTCCTGTTACTATGGCTTTTTCAAATCATGCTATTTCACCTTATGTAAATGGTCCAGGTTTCCCCCTGGCACTGTGAGAGAGCTCCCTTTCCTTCTGATGGTCAGAGTTCGGCTCTGTGCTGAGCTCCAGGTAGCGCTGGCCGAGCAGAAGCATCACTAACTCTCCAGTGTGGGGAGATGGTCGCTTGTGATGCCTGGGGCTGAGGGCAGGGGAGGAAAAGCACCATCCTGTGCGTTCCCAGGGTAAAGGAAAACACTTAGGAACGAGGTTGCATTTGTTTAGACTTGTAGGACTCAGTCATGTTCTCCACTGAGGCAAATTTCCAGACACAGTTCTTGCAGGATTGTGGTTTGTTACACTTAGGAGACACATTGCAGACTTGGGAACATCTTTTGCAGACATTGTTAGCAGTGAAGTTTCCTTGTTTCAGATTTTTATAAATGACCTAGGACTTTAAATGCCATTAAGTGGTGCTGCTTCTAGACAGTGAAAAGCAGACCAGAAGAGAGAAACACAGCCATAGAAAAGTCACGGTGAGCAGAGTTCTGAGTGTGAAACATGACGCACAGGGAAGTGGCACACGTGTGTGACTGGACTCCCCCCGGCATTACAAACACTACAGAATTAAAGATGATGTACATCTGAACTACTACTCCCACGGAAACGACTCAGGAAAGAATCGAGAGCCTTGCTGAGGGAAGAGGGGCCGCTGTGATGCTGTGTCTGGCTGCGCTCCCAACATCATTAGGACAGTGCTGCCGCCGACAAGAGCCCTGGCTCATGTGGAGCTGTGGGGTGACTTCATTCAACCATTGGGCATGTCTACTGGCTTTATTTATCTAGAGCACAGAGAAGGGAATGGATGGTCAGAGAACAGGGAGAGCAGTCGGGGGTGTGCCTTGGAAAGTTGAGGGGAGCAGGTGACCACACACTTGGTCAAGAGTAGGGGGAACCTAATCTGGAAACATTATCTGTAGGGCTCTGTCACTGCCTCAGGGAGAAGAAAGCACTTTTAGTTAAGTTAGAAGCTTGAAGAGCTTGTCTGTGTTTCTAAGATTCGTAGAGGGAAAGCAAGAGCCAGTAACTAGGAAATAGAACCATCTAACGTCAGGGTCGCTTGAAGTTCACAGTCACATCCTCATCCCTCCGGCATCCCTCCAGGAGACAGTGTCTAACCCTTGATGTGCTTTTCCCTCAGGCCTGCAGTAGAAACACATTGTGTGAAGGATAATGCCTTAATGGCCAGAATATCATGATTTGGAGCTGAGGGGTTTTGGGGTTCTTGTCCATGTGCAAATGGAGTTTTAGTTTATGTGATAGGTTTGGCCTTGGTGTCTAGAAGTCATCCCTGAAGAAACATGATAAAACTATTATTCCGTGGGATTTCAATTATGTCGCTTTTTGTAATTCCATTCCCCCGTGCATTGACTCGTGAGCCGTGAAATGGCTGTGTGAATCCTCGGGGTAAGGGTAGAAGACAGTGAAGAGCAGGGCAGTCCTTTTGGAGCTCTGCTGTCAAGTTGCTGTTTGTAACATGAAGTAATACCTCAAGAGAACTTCTGGAGAGACAGCACCACTGTCCCTCCGAGACTCCAGCCACTGCACATTGTCCTCTCAGCTGTAAAGCACTTGACGCAGCTGTGTCACCTGGGATTGTCTAGATGTCCTGTTGACATGCATGTACTGGGAATATGCCTTTGTGTGTGTGCAGTAGAGCTGAGTCCTCTAACTGGGCTGCAGAGATGGCCATCAATGTCTACTTCACTGGAATGACTAACTGAATCTCTAATGGAAAGCCAACATGGGTTCTCTTCCCGTGTATTCTGTGTATTTCCTCTGACCCTTACTGTGCCGTGGGCTGTAATCTCCATGTTTCTGTACTCTGAAGGAATGGTACCTGTGTGTGAACTAGAAAAAGATGAGACCACATCTCACAGATGCTGTGACTCAAAGAGATGGAACACTGCAAGGAGTTCTCCGGGGCAGGAACTTCTAGATTTCTAACATCAGCGACTCAGGCCACAGAGGTGAAAACAGCTAAACAGCTAAACTCCAAGCTAGTGGAGTAACATCTGGTCGAGAGCCATGGCAGATGTGACTTAAGTGACTGACTCTTGGAGTTTCAGAGGCCACACAGTCCTTAAGGAGACTTAGGGCCTTGCCTAGGTGCCACCAGATCTTCTGCCAGGCCTTTCCATTTCCCCAGTGTAGCTATGAAGAATGAAGAAGCATTTCGCCCCATGGCACAGGGAAGTAACAGTGAGACCTTTCTAGTGGCCAGACTTGATATCAGCGCTTCCTGTCCTGCTATTATGTTCCTGCCTTATCCATTATCCTTTATCAAAACAGGTGTAGTTTCTACATGTTAAGAATTTCCTATTGGAGTTGAGAGGGAAAATCTTTGTCAGTTTACTAGTTTTTGGTCAAGATTTAGCCTGAGTCTTACAGCATTCTTTGTGGAGTGCTCCACTGAAGTGTCTTCTGCTTTGGCTAAGCCAATGAGTTTCAATGTAAGCCACTAAAAGTCAGATCTGTCTAATTACTTGAGTCTGAGCTGTTTCCCTAACTCAGGGTGCTACAAACAAAAGACTTGCCCAGGAAAGCTTCAGAAGAGAACCGCTTCCAACCCTTCCTGTGACACTCAGCAGTGGAGGGGAAGCAGGTTAGTGGATTGCCAATTCTATCAGGTAGCCTTACTACTGCTAATCACTGTCAATAAAACGTCACTTCATTCTCTGAGGAAAGCAGTGAGAATGTATACAGTGAACTGGAATCCTAGTCAGTATTGGGAGATTCTTATGTTGCAATATCTGATCAAACCCTGCGTGTACTGGTTCTGTGAACCACCTGAAAAGCAAATTAAAAACTGTTAAGTGGCATTGGTCTGTCTGTGTCTGTTTATAGGAGGTGAAGCAGGTGAGCTTCGACCTGTGCTTGTTTTTTTTTTTAGGTTATTTTTGCCGCGCACCTAATTTGGCCTCAAACTCATGATGCTCTTGGCCAAATGTGGGATTTACATGGCTGTAAACAGTGCTGGGAGCTGGGAACATGCCTAGGTTATTTTTATGCTTGCCTGTCAGGCATGGAGACCCTGAGTCTGATTTCCAGCACCGACTATGGGCACACACCCTAATCCTAGTATTGGGGAGGTAAAGACAGGAAGACCACAAGTTCAGGTTATTTCCTTGACTACATAAATACTCATTTTTAGTGATTTTTGTGTATGTATGCGAATATTTGTCCATGCCTATGGAGGCCAGAAGAGGTACTGCATCCTCTAGTTCTGGAGTTACAGGAAGTTGTGAGTGCCCTGATGTAGGCTGGGAACTGAACTTGGGTCTGAGCTCCTCAGGCCCAAAAGCTGAGAGAGAAGAGAGAGAGAAGAGAGAAGAAACAAGGCAAGGTGTGGTGACCACCTCAGAACTCAGAAGCCACAGACAGGCTCCAAGTTCAAGGCAGCCTGGTTTATGTAGTGAGTTCTAGACCAGCCAGACCGTCTCAAAAACAGATTTTTTTTTTTCATGAAAAAGCTAAGACTAGTGCCAAGTTTTAGTAGTGGCGTTCTGTGAGCTTGAGAGCAGCCTTCTCTACACAGTGAGTTCCAGGACAATCAGAGCTACAGAGTTGAGTCCTTGTCTTAAAAACAAACAAACCAAAACAAAAACCAAGTGGTGTTGGTGCATGCCTTTAATCCCAGCACTTGGGAGCCAGCCAGGGCTCCTTGGTGAAACCCTGTCTTCAAAAACCAAAGTCAAGACTTGTTAGTTTTATTTAGACAATGGAAGAATGATAAATTTTGCCTTCAACAAAATAAACTTTTCCACACGTCGGAAAAGTTTAATGGTAACTCCGCAGGAGAGTCTGAAATGTTAACAGCATGAAGCATGTCACCCTTGTGACTTTATGGCAGATGACCCGAGGTTAAGTTTCTGAAAACCAGAGGCGAGAAACAACCTGGGTTGTAGCAACGTTAGGCTTCGAAGGGAAGCCAGCAGGTTGTCTTTGTCTCTGTTACTGGTGCCTTACAGGTGGACAGAGACACTGACATCAGCACCGACGAGGAAGCACCAGTGCACAGCACAGCTGTGGAGTCTGGACGGCTCGGGCAGATCTAGAAGAAGATGATTTTCTTGTGCTTGGAGTTGGGGATCTGCCCCTTGGACTTCAACCTCCGAACAGCCTCCCGCATGTGCTTGGGCTGCAGTGGTGGCATCTCTCCCCACTTCTCACACACATCCAGGGCTGCATGGAGAAAGAGACAGCCTCGTTAACATAAAGTTTACTAACTTGCCACAGAAACAAACCGATATTTTTCCTTAAGAAAACTTCAAGGGGCTGAAGAGATGGCTCAGTAATTAAGAGCATTGCCTGCTCTTCCAAAGGTCCTAAGTTCAATTCCCAGCAACCACATGCTGGCTCACCACCATCTGTAATGAGGTCTGGTGCCCTCTTCTGGCATGCAGGCATACACACAGGCAGAATATTATATATATAATAAGTAAATAAATATTTTTTTAAAAAAGTTATACCAATATTTATAATAAAGAAAAAGAAAACTTCACAAAGTCTTATCATGCTGGCTTTAGTTATACCCCACAGGGACCGGGTCACAGCTACAGGAAAGAAAAGGACGTGGCAAGCTGGAGATCAGCAGGGAGAAGCAGCCAGGCTTTCAGGGAAAGCTCTCAGTGGGTATTGCTATCAGGGCATTCTTGTCTTCTTACACTGAATGGCACAAGCAAGGTCTACTGAGGAAAGATACACAATTGTTTTGTTACCCTGGGCTGACGAGAGGGATTGCCTAGATGGTTTCATCCCTGCCCTCCATCTCCGCCTACCCAGTGATAAAAACTACAAGAGTAGCCATGCTCTCCTCAAGACAAGGCTCCCTACAGGATCAACTTCTAGTGTGGCTGGAAACTAGCAGAGACCCTTAAATGCCCTGGTGTAGATGCTCTTGAAAGTGAGACCCCCATGAAAGCAAGAATGTTGTATAACCAACAATACTCACCTTCTTCTACTACCTCCCCGACAAAAACTTTAGAAATACCAGACATGGCAATCACAACATTCTGGGACACAGAGGTCCCCGTGATAGACTGGATCAGCTTGGAAGAAAGAAAGAAAAAAGACTGTTAAGATAATCAGTGACTGGCTTTGGGATGTAGTACAGGTGACTGCATGCCGCACTGAAGGCTGTGTGCTAAAACTGAGACTATTGGAGTAAGACGCTTTTCCAGAGGACTAGAGTTCAGGTTCCAGCACCCATCCTGGGTGACTCACAACCACCTGTAACTGCAGTCAGGAAATGTGATGTCCTTTTCTGTCTTTCATGGGCACCCCCACACATGGTATATACCCACAGAAACATCAATAAATACAAAAACAGCGCCCCCCCTCAGCCCCCAAGATTACTATGTGTTATGACTTGCCATGCCTGGCATACAAGGCTGGCCTTGGCCAGATGAGAGAGGCGATTTTATCTTCTCTCCTAACTAACATTACCTCACTCAGATGAAGGCACAGCTGTGGATTCTACCGTCTTCCTAACACGAGGGGACCACACTGGGGTAGTCCATCCTTACCCTTTTAATGGCTGCCTTAGGGAAAGCTGACCGGCGATACATTTCATAACGGTTCAGCTGCTCCTCAGAAAAAGAAGAGACGAGGATTCTAGACAAAGATTCCGGTAATTAAGTTGGTTAATAAGAATGAATACTAAAGGCATAAGTCAACAAAAGCAAAGCCCCAGACCAAAAACAAACCAAAATGTATCTCACGGAGTTGGTGGCTTTAGCTTAGTGCGCTTGAGGATGGCATCTCCACTCCTCAGGACCTCTGGGAAGAGGAAAAGAGCACACTTTCCTTCCCTCAGAGACAGAGCTGCTGCGTGTGGCAGCGTGCGCCTGCTCCTCCTAAAAGACTTGGCAGTATGAGGACAAAGCACTGTATTCTAATGCTGACTTATTTCACACTGACAGTGAACATCCAATACAGAAAATTCTGTTCAAATCAGGGTTCTTCAATGTTAACATGTTTAGAGGAAAACAGTCAAATTATGTATAGTCTTCAGAAAATTTCTGAGACATGATATATCTTAGGTTAGCTTCAAACTTGAGTTTCTGGTCCTCCTGGCTCCGCCCTCCAGAGGGTGGGATTACAGTTTTACTCAGTGCTGGATCCATCACAGGGCTTCCTGCTTGCTCTGCAGGCAGTCTATGGTAGCCTCAGGGCTAATATTTTAAATTACTGAGTCTATCTTCTATGCCTATGTGCTGTATGTATGTGTGTGGGACACATGAAAGACAACTTGAGGTAAGCAGTTTTCTCCTTCCATCATGTAGGTCATGGGTATCAAATTAGGTTGTCAGGCTTGATGGTGAGTGCTCTATCTGGTGGGCTGTATCCTTTCTTTTTTAAAATATTTATTTATTTATTTATTATATAAATAAATTGCATGCATGCCTGTGGGCCAGAAGAGGGCAAAAGATCTCATTACAGATGGTTGTGAGCCACCATGTGGTTGCTAGAAATTGAACTGAGAACTTCAATTGAACTTTGGAAGAGAAGGCAGTGCTCTCAACCTTTGAGCCATCTTTCCAGCCTCCTCCCCTTTTTTTGAACTTACCTATGTGAGTATGTTTGCTTGTGTGTGTGTGTGTGTGTGTGTGTGTAGGTGCCCATAGAAGCCAGAAGAGAGGGCCAGATCCTTTGGAACATCTTAGCACAGATGGCTCTTAACCCCTGAGAAGTCTCTCTAGCCCCTTATATTCTTTATAGTTAATTCTTTTTTTAAATTATTTATTTTATTGGTGTTTTAGTCTATATATCTGTGTGAGGGTGCTGGATTCTGGAGTTACAGACAGTTGTAAGCTGCCATATGGGTGTTGGGAATTGAACCTAGGTCCTCTAGAAGAGCAGTCAGTGCTCTTAACCGCTGAGCCATCTCTCCAGCCCCAATTCTTTTAAATAAATAAAAAGATGGCCAAACCAGTTTTAGAAGATGAACTAAGGGCTGGATAGGAAATTCACAAAAATCCAATGGCCAATCAAGATGGAAGAAAATGAACCTTAAGTATTAATCAAGAAACTTGAAATGATCAACTAAAACAAGATCACAATTTTTGCAGAGGATATGCTGAAGATCCTTTGAAACACATTCATACTAGAGTTTATACAGCTGGTTTATCCTAGAAATGGATGAGATGCAGAGATATGTCCAAAGCTGTAACAGTGTTGTTAAAAGAAACAAAAATTTAAAGACTCTACCTAGAATAGGTAAAGGGGTTAATATGAGTCACACACAGATGAGATACAGCACAACTGGGTTAAATATACAAATATATCCACATATACATTCTTGGAATAAGATCCAGCAGCTGAATTTTGGGCCTTTTTTTTTTGGTATTATGAGTTATCTGTAATGAGCCCATATCATTGCCACTCTAAAAATCAAGCTTTTTGAAGAAAATGATGACTTTGATGTATAATTACTAATAATGAGAAACACTAAAAGTAACGTTAAAAGCAAAACATTTTGAACATCAATTATTTAATATTCTTATATTTACACATTTATTTTGTGTATGTGTAGGAGCATGTCTATATTTGGAGATCACAGAACAATTTCCAGGGACTGGTTCTCTCCTTACAGCGTTGGTTTCCCAGGATTAAACTCAGGCCATTAGGCCTGGTGGCAGGCACCTTTATCTGGCAGTTTGCTGACCTGAAATTATATCCAGGCATAGTGGCTCATGCCTGTAATCTCAGCACTAAGGAGGCTGAGGCAGGAGGATCAAGAGTCAAGACTAACTTAAACCTCATGAGACCCTATCTCAAACAAGCAGCACATGAGCGTGCAGAGCTGAGTCGGGGCTTCGGAACGGAAGTCAGAAGAGACTCACTGCATCTTCTGAATCTCATCCTCGTCCACCTTCTGCTTCTTCTCTCTCTTCTCCTTGGTGTCCAGTTTCAGCTTTTTGGCTGCAGGAGTAAGTAAGGACGGGTCTTCTCTCTCGACTGCTGTTAGATCTGAGACATCCTGACTCTTGATCTGGGAAGATGGACAGAAACTCTGTTACATGTTTGGCATACTTTCCAGGCTTGGGCAAGGTCAGCAAATGCCCTCCTCTTTCCAGCTCAGTATATCTGGTTATGCAGTCGCTGTCTGGTTGTAGGCACTGAGAGGCTGTCTGTCTCCCAACGGAAGATTATCCCAGCCGGAGAGGAAAACGAGCAGTCAAGTCTTCCAGCTGAGATATCCTGTATCTGTTTACCAAGGAGCCAAATCAGCACTCCCCTGCCTCATGCCACAGACATCAGCACAGTCCTCCTTCCAGCATGTGTCTTGGGAGCACCACCACCTACAGTGTTCCGACCCTTCCCACTACTAGACTAGAAACTGTTTTTGTTTGTTTTTTGAGACAGTCTCTTTACATAGCCCTGACTGTCCTGGAATTCACTCTGTAGACCAGGCTGGTCTCACAGAAATCTGCCTGCCTCTGTTTCCCAAGTGCTAGGATCAAAGGCCTGTGCCACCACCACCAAAGTCTGGAAACATTTTTTCTTTGTGATTTAAGAGAAGGTCTTATTTTGTAGCCGAGGCTGCTGGCACTCCCCTGTCCTGCCTCCTTGCTGGGATTATAGACTTGTACCACCATACTGAGATTAAACTAAAAACTGAGAGATGGCTCAGAGGTCATGAGCATTGGTTGCTCTTGCAGAGGATCTAGGTTCGATGACCAACAATCACGTGACAGCTCACAGTCATTTGTGATCTCCAGTTTTAGGGGATCTGATACCTTCCTTTGACGTCCACAGGGACCAGGCACATACATAGCAAACATATGTACACAAAGGCAAAACATCCATACAATAAAAATTTTAAAAAGCTCAAACTTAATGTGTGTGGACTTGCAAGTGTTGACCACAGGGCAATCTTTGTGGAGCTGGTTCTCATCTCCCTTTATGTGGGTTCTCACAGCAAGCCCCTTTACCTGCTGAGTCATTTTACTTGCCTTGTGCTAAAACCTTTTTAAAGATGTCATTATTTACATTTCTCTCCATATCAGCACTCAACAGTTTTACTCGTGACAGATGTAATCCAAATTCTGTCCTACCAGCTGACCATGGAATCTTAATACCCCAGAACTCATTGCTGTGATTTAACAGTTCCTTTAAAAAGAGATTCATATTTAAAAACTCGGAAGCCGGGCGGTGGTGGCGCACGCCTTTAATCCCAGCACTCGGGAGGCAGAGGCAGGCGGATCTCTGTGAGTTCGAGACCAGCCTGGTCTACAAGAGCTAGTTCCAGGACAGACTCCAAAACCACAGAGAAACCCTGTCTCGAAAAACCAAAAAAAAAAAAAAAACTCGGAAATTCAGCGAGGGGAAGTGAAGGCATTATATATTTGATAAACCTTTCAACTTAGTTTCGGTTACTGATCTATACATATTTACCAACCTTTGCGCTTCAGAATTTTGTTTTGTTTTCTTTCTTGAGACAGGGTTTCCCTGTAGGTTTGGAACCTGTCCTGGAACTCCGTCTGTATACCAGGCTGGCCTCGAACTCACAGAGATTGCCTGTCTCTGCCCCCGCCAAGTGCTGGGATTAAAGGCGTGTGCCACCATCACCTGGCTTGTACTTCAGATCATCAAATTTATTTGTCCTTAACTTTCCTCCTTTCCCCTCTTCTTTCTCCTTTCTTTGTTTTTTTTTTTAATCTTTCTTTTTTTTTTTTTTTTTTTTTTTGAGGTAGTTGGGGTAGAAGCCGGCCTTATTTTGTAGCTCATGAAGTCCTGGAATTTATTACTTCTACTTCAGCTGCCCGCATGAGACATTCAGCTTAAAATTTTCCTCTGAAAACAGTTTTGCTGCCGATCTGTGTCAGGAGAGTCACAAGCTCAAGAACAGTCTGTGTTAGGGAGACGCTCCTCATATAAAGAAAATAACAAAATTCCATAAAGTTTTGCTACGTCTTCTTTTCCTGTTATTACTGTCAACATTTTGAGGCAGTTGCGTTAGGAAGCCCATTCCATCTTATCTACTTGTCACTCCATGAGCTCTCAAAGTCAATTCCAGCTCTAAAGCTCCGAGATTTTATCTGCAGAAATGAAACCTAAAGAACGCTGAGGTTCAACTAGGCAACAATGCTTAGCTTTTGAAGTGGCACAGTCCTGGTTTTGGTGGCCTTTCGAGGCTTCTGGAATTTAGCATCCAAGACACTGGTTCAATGCACTACGAAGGTAGGGGCGGACCGAAGCAGCACCGACAGGTCCTCGTCCTCCCCGCCCCCAGCCGCTCAAGGTTGAAGACACACAGTGACTCGCGGTGAGTTCCAGCTCTAGCTACGGAAGCCAGGAAGCAACCCGGGTGCTCCTCCAGCCTGATCCACAACTGGCACCTACCTCGCTTTCCTCCGCCGCCGCTTCTTTCACGTCCGCGTCTCCATTCCCGTCGGTTTCCTCCGGGATTCCCTCAGTATCGGCGGTCACCGGGATCCCAGGAGTGGTCCTCATGTCCTCTGACTCCGCTGGCTCTCCGCCTTTGTCTGTGGGCGACTCCCCAGGGTTGTCCATCGCCGCAGAAGCGGGACAGAGGCCACGGCAGGACAGCCAGTTGAAGGAGTGAGAGACTGCGAGCTTACCGGTGGAGCCAGGGCTTACGGCCGGTCGCGCCGTGATGACGTCACCCCACGGCTCCTCGGATGGATCATTTCCAAAAGTGCGTTGCTGGCCCAAGAGATTCCTTTAAACCGTGCTTGTTTTCCGGAGAAAGGAATTTTATAAGCGTGGATCCTCCGCTTTGGGGAAGAAGCGTTTTTGAAAGAGCGTGCATTCGTTTGCGGAGAGACTTCTTTTTCTTCTCCTTCCTGGAAATGCAATGCCACCTAATCTTTCTTTGACTTGAGCAAAGTCGGGGAATCGGAGAAAACGCAGTCCCGCCGCTTGCCTAGCGCTGAACAGCTTCCAGCAGGGACCCAGCCTTGTATTTTTCGAAAGATCAGAGACTACGGGCTTGTGTTCACCAGGGAATTGCTAGGGTTTCCCCTCTGTTCCGCAAGCATCTCCAATCCAGCAGCATTTCCAATGCTCTCATTCAACGCCTCAGTTATCCGTCACCTCGAGTCAGTCGCCCCTTCCCGACTACACTTTTTTCCACTCCATCAATACTCAAAATCGGGACTGGTCGTCCAAATCTGACGTAAAAAAAAAAAGTTTGGTTAATTTCACGCCAACTAAGAGGGAGTTCTTCTGACCGTTCCACTGAAGCTGTTTAGGATGGAGCGCGAGGAAAACATTTTTTCTTTTAAATTTTTTCATGTGTATGGTGTTTTGACTGCATGTATGTCTGTGCACCACATGCGATCATGGTATCCTGGGAGGCCAGAAGAGGGTGTCGGATCCGCTGGACCTGGAGTTACAGACTGTTGTGAGGCGCCATGTGGGTGATGGGCATCACAACTGGCCACTCCCGTTCCCCCCACCTTCCCCCCCCCCCCTTTTTTTTTTGAGACAGAGTCTCACTACGTAGCCTTGGCTGGCCTGGAACTTGCTATGTAGACCAGGCCGACCTTAAGCTCACAGAGGCACACCGCTTCTGCCTCCCGAGTGCTGGGATCGCAGCTATTTTAAAGCTCTACGGTCTTTCCTCAAGGAGGCACCAGAGGACTGGATTTTTCACGTCTGGTTCTAGGTCTCCGCCCCTATTCTGTATTTAATCTGAGTCTTGAATGTAATTGGAAACACAGGTGCGTGTTACCAAATTTCTCTGGCTTCTACAGTGCCTGTACAAATTGTCATATTTCCAGTCGCACGAGGTTCCAAACCTTTGGGAAGGCATGCACGACAGGAGGCTCCCACCGGTGTGCCACGCGTGTTCTCTCGGACCTGTTGAATGGGCGAGCGCGCTGGGGTGGACCCCATCTCCGCAGGGCTCCGCTCGGCTCAGTCACCTGCACTGCGGCCGGAGCCCCGCCCACTAGGTGGGCAAGGAGGCGGGTCGCGGGGGCGCGGTGACGCGTGACGCCGGATCCCGGAAGTGACGCGACGCGGGGGGGGGGGAGGCCAAGGAGGCGGGGGAGGGAGAGGGGGTGGCGTCCCCGGCCGGTTTGAGGGGTGCGTTGCCCGGAGACGGAAAGTTTGGGAGCCGCAGCAGGCTCTGCGTGGCCCCGGGTGGGGGTCCGAGGAGCGGCGGCCCTGGGGATGGGGAAGGAGCAGGAGCTGCTGGAGGCGGCCCGCACCGGGCACCTCCCGGCCGTGGAGAAGCTGCTGTCCGGGAAGCGGCTCTCCTCCGGCTTCGGCGGCGGCGGCAGCGGCGGCTCCGGCGGCGGCGGCGGCTCCGGGGGCGGCGGCCTGGGCTCTTCCAGCCACCCGCTCTCCAGTCTGCTGAGGTGAGTGCGTGCGGGGCGGCGCGGGGCGGCGGGGCTCGCAGCCTGGACGGCGCGGGCTCCCTCGAGAGGTCGCGGCTCCAGGGGCGCGCACGGCGCAGGCCAGGGTCTGGCGTCGGCGCTGCGGAGAATGGGGGGAGTGCCCAGGTGGCAGCCCGCGCCGCATGGCACAACCCGGCGTCACCCTCGCCCGCCGTGGGGTGCCAGCTGTCGCGTCTCACAAAAGCGACTTCGGAGCAGCCCGAATTCGCGGAATCCCTCTCACATCCTGCAGGAGCTCCCACGTCGCGCAGAGCCTCGCGACTCCCCTGGAGCACATTCCCCTCTTTTCCTTCTCCCTGGAACTTGGAACGTTCCACCGGGCTGTGCGGGACCCGGCTTTTGTTTGTTTTTAAAATTGCTTCAGCATTTATCGCGCACGAGGTGTTCAGTCTTTGAGCCTCTCGGGCTTGAAGCTCTATTTGTCGTCAATTTCCTTGTAGTCACCCTAGCTGGGTTCGTCCAAGTGGCGTCTGCTCATTTTCAACGTTGGGAAAGCCTTGTTTAGGAAATCGAGGTGCGTTCAACTTTCTGAGACCTGTTAGACACTTGAATCCGGGGCTGCAAGGGTGGGTCGTCGCTCTTTGTCGCTTACAAGGGGTTTGGAACGCTTTGTCAGAGTGCATGAAATGTGTTGGTTCAGCCGCGCTTTCGTAGCAGTTTCTTTTCCTTCCTTGTTCTTTTGAGGTTTTCAAGAAGTGGAAGTTCTTTTAGCAGTGGCTTCGTTGGCTTCTGTTCCCTATTAGTTTGTGTACCTTTAGTTTGAGTGAGCTTGGAGAGCTTAGACCCAAGAAACCCAAGGCTCTACGAAACAGTCAGGTATCCAGTACTGAGTACCGACTTACATCTTCTCAGGGAGATTTTAAGAAGCATTCCAGAAGACCCCTCCCCTTCCTTTGGGGAGGAAAAACCCCATTCTGTTGGCTGCGATTTCCCCGGCCCCTTGAACAATACTGGCTCATAGTAGTTGGCAAAATTTGTTGAATAGATAGAAGTCCTGATTGGAGAATGATTGTTGTGTGCGCGATGGAGGCTAGAAGTTGACATTGGTGTCTTCCCCAATTGTTCTCCATCTTCTCTCTTTGAGACTGTGTCCCTCACCAAACCTGGAGTTTGCTGATTGTGCTAGATTGGCTGGCCAGCAAGTCCCAGGGATTCCCCCGTCCCTACCCTCCCAGTACTAAGGTTACAGGCACATACAGCCATGTTGACTTGCCTCCCCTTCCTTTAAACATGGGTGCTAGGGTTCAAATCCAGGGGCTCCTGTTTGCTCTTTACGGACTGAGCTGTCTCCTCAGGGGATCATCCGTCTCTAAATAAATTGGTGGTAGTCCTCACTGTCAGCGGCTGGTGCTTCAGACTAGTGATAGTTTGGAAGTCTGAACCGCAGAGACAGTGTACTTCGGCTGACGTTGATCCGCCATGTATACTGAGAGTGTTCCAGGTAAGCATACCCTGCTCACAGGCACGGAAAGGAGACTTACTTGGTGTTTGTGGGCAATCCCGAGAAGGTCCTGCTTGGGATCTTGAGTAGTTGGGCCCCTTAAAGGTAGATAAGAATGGACTGGTACACTGTCGCCTTTCCTATTGACAGTCCTCCTCACACTTAGGTTCTCAGTCCCCACATTAGTGCCTGGGGACAGAGAACAGGTTGTCTGAGTTAGGGCTACTACTGCTGCCATGAGACACCGTGACAAAGGCTGCCCGGGGAGGGGAGGGTTTATCTGGCTGACCTTCCACATCCTAGTCATCACCCAAGGGAGTCAGGACAGGAACTCACACAGGACAGGAACCTGGAGGCAGGAGCCGATGCAGATGACATGGAGGGGCTGCTTACTGGCTTGCTCATCATGGCTTGCTCAGCCTGATTTCTTACAGAACCCAGGACCACCAGCCCAGGGGTGGCACCACCCAAAAGGGGCTGGTCCTTCCCTCATCAATCACTAATTATGAAAATACCCTACGATCAGATCTTATTTTCTCAGTCGAGGCTCCCTTCTTTCGGATGCCTCTAGTTTGTGTCAAGTTGGCATGAAAGTAGCCAGTACACAGGTGCTCAGCAAGTAAACATTGGATGCATTTTTTTCTTTCTTTCCCTCCCTCCCTCCCTCCTTTTTTTCTCTCCTCCTCCTCCTCCTCCTCCTCCTCCTCCTCCTCCTCCTCCTCCTTTTTTTTTTGACAGTTACTGTGTAACCGTGGCTGCCCTGGAACTCGCTATGTAGGCCAGAGTGACCTTGAGCTAGCAGAAGTCTGCCTGCCTCTGCACCCCAAGAACTGGGATTAACAGTGTGCACCAGCAGGCTTGTTTTTAATTTCACCTGCAGTTTCGTCATCCTGCAGTTTTGGTGTTGAGAGGTAGGGGAAACTCCGCAGGTTTGGAGGTCCCTCTAATGAACCGATGAGGTCGTGCTTGGAGATTTGCCAGGAGCGCCCTGGCCCCCAGACGACTCTGCTGGAGTACAGACTTCGGCCCTCACATACAGTCAGGTTCCTGCTGGTGTTCCCTCAGACCCTATGAGACGTCTCTGAGAGCTAGCTGCCGTGTCGTTGAACAGGACAGTGAGGTCTGTCGAGCGCAGTGGTTTTGCTTTGGGTTTCCTGCCGATGTTTCCAGTTTCTGCCATGTCAAGCATGCGTGGTGTCTCCCTTCCCTAGAGTCACAGAGCTGCTGGTCTCTCATTGGCTCCTGTGAGTAGTAGAGGCCACAGATGTCCGGAGCTTCCTAATCTCCACTCTGTGGCTTTTAGAGGCAGGGAGGACGTTTAGGCCCTTGTTACACTAGGTGTGTCGTTAATTAGGGTGACTGGTTCACCTACTGAAAGAGGTTGAGGCCGTGCGTTTAAATAACCACTAGGTCAGCATGTCCCCCTGCAGGTTTGGAGATGGCAGAGGTGCGTCCCTCAGTATCCAGCCTCTTTCTCTTGCCGGGAACCCTGAGCTGTTATTGGGATCTGCGGACTCCTAGTTTGGTGTCTTGACTTGTATCAGCAGGCATATCTATCCTTGCTCCTAGGTGCTGCGACTGCAGCCTACCTTCCTCTGGCAATTTAAGGAGCTTGTGGCTGCAGTGGATACGGTGTTGCAAATCACGCGTGTTTGTTTCCTCATGTATTTGTGACCCCACCCCCCACCCCGTGCATTCCACAAAGGTTTTGTATGTATTCTTTGTGTGTGTTCATGGGGCTGCATGTATGCATATGTGGAAGCCAAGGGTCAACCTTGGATGTCATTATTTTAGGTGCTGGTGGGGAGTAGTGTCTCGGGCTTCTTCTTGTTTCCTTCTCCCCAGCCCTGGGTTTGCAAGCAGACACCGCTAGCACGCCTGATGTTTTTATATGGGTTCTGGGGAATTGAACTTGGGTCCTCATGCCTACAGGGCAAGCACTTTACCATCTGAGCTATCCCCCCAACCCCTTTAGTATATTCTGAAGTTAGAAAATGCTCTCTTTTCTCCCTGCATGCCTTGTCTCTTAGGGAGTCATCTTCTACTTGGGTCTTCACCTCACACGGTCTGCAATGGCTCTCGTATCCACAGATCTTGCCAGCTTTGGGGGGCACGTCCTGTAATATATAGTAGTTCATCGTCCCATCCTTAAATTGCCTCCCTTTCATAGCTCATCTCTTTGGTCTGTTTGCTGGCTAGTTTTTTTGTCAGCTGACACAAACTGGGGTCATTTGCGAGAAGGGAACCTCAGTTGAAAAAAGTCCTGATTGTTGTAGCCCACTGTGAGCAGAGCTGCTCTGGATGGTATAAGGAAATAGGCTGAGCAAGCCATATGAAACAAGCCAGGAAGTCATGCTCCTCCGTGGCTTCTGCTTCTGTTTGCCATGCCCCTGCCTCGAGTTCCTGCCCCGACTCCCCTCAGTGATGGAATGTGACCTGAGAGTTGTAAGCTGAAGTGAGCCCTTTCCTCATTACGTTGCTCTCGGTCCTGGCGCTTATCACAGTCCTAGAGCCCTACCCAAGAACCTGCCACTGTCAAGTTCTCATGCTGCGGTCCTCAGTCACCAAGAGTGTATCTGAAGCACAGTGTCAAGAAAAAGCATTTACGGACACCGCGTTCCCCCGACTCCCGTGTGTTGACTGTCCCTTATTGCAGCATAGAGCACTAGACTGAAGTCAGTCAGTTGTCTGAATGCCCAGTCTGCTGCCACCATGGACTGTTCCCTTGATGTGTAGACGGTAACTACTTTGATCCCCGCTCTCTGTAAGATGAGGATAATATTACGGGCCGTGTAGATGCTGCCTTGGGTAAGAAATTGCACCACAGTTCCTAACACATCCTGTGCAGTCGCTGTGAACTGTCCCCAGCTCATCACGCAGTCTCTCTTGTTGCACTTGTTACGTGCAGATTGCTGTGTGAGACGCGTTTCTCTTTTCTTTCTGTTTTTTTGGTTTTTCGAGACAGGGTTTTTCTATGTATCTCTGGCTGTCCTGGAACGCACGCTGTAGAACACACTGGCCTCGAACTCACAGAGGTCTCTCTGCCTCTGCCTCCAAGTGCTGGGATTAAAGGTGTGCGCCACCACCCAGCGACACGTTTCATTTTATTTCATTTATTTTAGAGACAGGGTCTGATGTTGTCAAGGCTGGCTTTGAACTCATAGGTAGCCACAAATGACTGAACTTTTGATTCTCCATCTTCTAAGTCCTGAGTGCTGCTGTATTACAGGTATGTTCAACTGTGCTCCCACTGAGACACATTTTAGTGGTTTCTTTCATGCTTGGTGATCTCTCTCTTCTTTGAGAGGTGGCGGATTAGAAACCTCAATAAGGGCGTGGACCCGCTTAGGCAGACATGTAAATGCCATTTGTTAACTGCTTTGTTCCAGGCCAAGCGATTGCTAGATGCAGCACTAACATATGGTAGCTGCCATGTCACAGTTGGCCCCTCTCACTGTATGCCCTGCTAGCTTATAGTTTACAGTAGTATAGTATGCCTGGGACAGACTGACAAGATGGA